GCGTTTCTCTTAACGCGAACATCCATTACTGAACGTCTTAGGTCAGACGATACGATTATCAAATCGATCATCGACTGCTGTGCACACGCTTCCCTATAACCGGTATACTGATGCGCACCTCGATGCTCGAAGGTGTTCGTAATGGACAGTTAGTTAGACAGTAATGGACAAAACTGGAACAACTTTATGCCGTTATTTTTGAGGTCGCTAGGGCAGTTTTTTCCAATCACGCCGTTCCACTTGTCAGCATCTACGCCGACATGCACATTAAAATCGCCCTTGAGTATAAGGGACTCTGTATTCGGCACTTCCTCAAGAAGGTTATCATATTCTCCCTCCAAGCTGAGCGTATAGACCTGTGCCAATGTACACGCTTTAGCCTGTTGTAGCTTCAGTCAGAGGACATCTGACGCTGACATGCTTCCAATCAATGATTTTATTTGCGATGTTGGGTTTTACCAGAACACCAACACAGGCCTGAGCGCGTATCGTGAATCGACGCCTGATAGAATGGCTTCCATCCGATGAGGTTCAGGAGTGCAGAGCCTTGGCGCTTTGTTGGAGAGAATTGAACAATGTCGAGTTAGTACTTTATTGCCTCATCGACTAATTGTTGTTCTTTCCCTCTGTATGAGGAAATATTCCAATTTCCGATTGTAAGTTCTCACCGGCGGTGTCGTTTTCAGGGACCCTCCCTTTTCTGACGTTCAATGATGACATCGCGCTATATGCCTCCTCCGTTCTTAGCGACTAACGATTCCGCTACTGGTTGATATGTTCATCGTCGTTTCGTAGAACTTCTGTTTCTACGCCCCCGATTGCCAGAAGGAGATGTGCAGGTTCAGACAGTTGACTTTTCGCAGCCTGTCTTAGTCACCATACAGCCTTGGAGACCTTTGGTGATCCGGACGACGGCCGAGCCGAGTCGGCGTAATGTTCGATGGTGGTAATAGCGTGAGACGCAGGTGGTTAAGGCTTCTCGGAACTTCGTCACGGTCTCCAACCGTCCTTTTCTGTTATGGAGCCTTGGGCCGGTAACGGCGGAATTTTTGTGAAAGTCAAGCATGTTCATAAGAAAGCAGTTGTTCATCCAGGGTACATTGGGAATGGAAAATAGATGAGACAATCTAGGGGAATACTCAGGTAGCATTTCTGAAGAACAGCTGACCATAAATTGAGGCAGGTGAACCAGTTTTCAGAGAACTGTGGACATCCCAACATCAGAAACCAGATCACTCATCTTGGTCATAGGTAATAATATGAGGGAAAAAGGCACTTCAAAAGGCGTAGTAGGGCGAACTCTACTCTGTTGAAGAGAAAGCGATGCTGAGTTAAACTTTCATGATTGTTAAGATAATTTTAGTTAAATTTGTAGCTCCCAAACCAAAAGAATGTAATCGCTCATCTGTATTCGTAATTGCTGCAATGCTATGATATGTTTGTTTTTGAATGCATCCGTTGGACAGAGGATGGGGTTGATCGAAACTGAAAGAAATAATCAGCAGAATTAAAATGGAGTTCAGCATAAATAGTTGAAAATATAAGGTGCTACCGTATTAAAACATGATACGTAGGCTATGCATGTCTGTTGTTAGGTCCATATGTGGTCTGTCGGTTACCGTCCTATTCACATGATTGAAATTCATGATAAATGATATTTCACTTATCTACTTTTAGATTTCATTGTTGGTGCCCCTTATGACGGACCCAACCAGAAAGGTGCTATATATATTTTTCACGGGGCGAAAGGAGGCATTAGAGAAAAAGTCAGTCAGGTACTGAAGTGCAGTAGTGGATTTAATCGCATTTGCAATAAACATGTTTCAAGGTGATATACGCTGGGGATCTCGACAGAGCACTCACTACATTTGGATTCTCTGTCAGTGGTGGCAGAGACGTTGACGGCAACGATTATCCGGGTACGTCATGAAAGTGTTTTCCAAAAATTTCGTTAACATATCTTTTAAGACATCTTTGTTGGGGCTTACAAGTCGGACAGAGCAGTTCTTTTAAAGTTAGTGTTTCCATCATGGTGGTATCTTTTGATTATTATTTAACAACAGGACACGGCCAGTTGTTTCTGTAAGCGGAACGGTGAAAATAAACCCCGATGTCATCGATCTTGAAAGCAAACTGTGCAGGCTCACTAGCGGCAGCGATGTCCCATGGTATGGCGCTTTTTTATTGCTACAAATAAACATTTAAATTCAACAGAGCATTTAGTGCGCAAATGAAGCTGTGCGTTTCTTATGCTGGAAAAGGGGTCAGCGACAACCTTGGTAATTTATTTAATTAATTAATTATACTGGTGGGTAAAATTCCAATTTACTGTTTACAGACTTTCGATTCGTCATCCAACTTGATGCGAAAAAGGGAAACAGTAGTCGCGCTCGCTTTCTTGAAAGTAGCAGTGTGTACAAGATGACGTTGGATTCGGTTCCGTTGAGGAAAGGGGAACAGTGGTGTGAACGACGCTACATATATCTGATCGTAATCTCGATAATCTCAACTCGACATTGAGTCGGTGTGATTCGCTGGATTTATAGGACGAAATCCGTGACAAACTGAGCCCGATTATAGTGCAGGTTAATTACAACATTTCTCAGGATACCTTCGGATCTGCCTTAACCCCGATCAAGGACGCATATCTCCCAGAAGTTTTGACCGGCGAGGTACAATCGATTGAATAGAGATTTGGAGTTCAGATCTGCTCGTGACTCTGCTGCTTACTTTAGATTCAAATACAGAAGGACTGCGGAAAAGACAGCATTTGCATTCCTGATCTTCAGCTTCATCCATCGCTGTAAGTTTCATTTTTATCCAACGAGCAATTTCGATAAGTTTCTTCTACAGAAGCAAAGAGTCGGTGTACGTTGGAGCAGATGACCGTTTCAACGTCAGCGTCATGATTCACAACCTCCTGGAAGACGCTTTCGAAGCGCAGTTTTTTTTGTTCGCGCCGGTGGGACTCGATTACGAGGGATTTTCCCGCGATGTACCGACGAGGCCGATCAGCTGTTCCCCTCCAAAGGAGGTAGACGATAAGTTGTACGTCCTTGTGTGCGACATCGGGAACCCGTTGCCGAAGAATGCTACCGTTCGCTTTAACATGCAGTTTTCGACTCAGAACTTTGTCTCTTCTGCTGGAAGAATATCCTTGAAATTAATTACGAACAGGTAAGTCCTGAAGTATTATTATTCATTCTTTCAAGGCTAAATCGTTATGGAATCATTAAACACCAGTTCCATTTCAAACTGTGTAACAGCCCTCCGTGCGGGTCTGTTCCCTCGAGGACCTCCTTCTCAGCATCCCAATGGTCGATCGTCATATGTAAGCTAGAGCGCGCAGGTCGGGAGCAGCATGCTT